CCCCCCCCCCCCCCCCCAGTCAGAACAGTTAGGATGTAAAGAAGATACTTTAACTTTGTTTTAACCTTATCTTTGCAACAAGGACTTTATTTCCCATTTAGAAATTAATTGTACCTTCTTTAGTGTCAGTGCACTGTAAAGTGTGATAATTTTTGTAAGGAACGTTGAGACTTTAAAGAATGCAATTTTTTTCGTAGACTTCTCATGAATATTTAATTTTTTACATAAGCATTTGTTATTTCATGAAACAACAGTTGAGATGACCAAGACAACATCAAATACAGCATTTCATCTTCTAAAAAACATTTCCACGCCATAAGGAGAAGAAATGGGGGCTGCACTTCAGACGGGGTGTCGCCATACTTCCGGCCAACAGCACCCGTATTCCCTGGTTATTGCCTACAGAAAAAGATCTTCTCTAGCCTGCCCAAAGGAAACATGAGCAATTGTATGACGCAAAATAGACCGAGTTTTAGTCTTGTGAATGGCCATGTTTTCATCCGTAATTTATATTTAGAGATCAAATATTTATTTGCACTTGATATAAGGCCGTAGCCAACAACCTTGTCCATTTTTATACAACATGGGCATGAGTGGTTACACATGTGTCGGTTTTTATATTGACCAGTTATATCTTGCCGTTGGTTAGATTAATTAGAAAGGATTGTTTTTTTAATGTACACCATCTATATAAACGATTTAACTCGACCTTGACGAATGGCAGATAACATAAGAGTTGCATGTTATCATCATTGCCCATCCCAGATGGTTTGGATACCGTCATGAAAACTTGTACACATAAGAAAACTTGATTTTTTAGGCATTTTGTAGCTTTGTCGACTCTACATATTTATTCTCCTTAAATTGAGCTTCGATTGGCATCATAGCATTATTGCCGTGAACCTTATATCTGCTCATTTTGAGAGTGTACATGTATATCCTAATTTACTACGCAGATTCCTCTCCGAGTTAAGATAAGAAGTGCCCATTGTGTTTGGTTGAGATGCTTGCATTGCGCGCAACTACTACATTTTTCTTAGCCAGTCTTATCCTACTTTTGTACGAGATCTAAGAATGTAATGTTCTTTGTGTTTCTTGTTTAAAAATCACACTAACGACAAAATAACTCATTGCTAAAGGGAGCACAAATTGTTTTCCTCACCGAGAAAGGTAAGCATCGAAGACGAAAAAAATTCGACGTCGAAACCTTTCGAGAATACCGCCCCAGGTGCAGAAAACGAAAACCATGATAGCAGACATGTAGGTCTAGGACCTAGATCTGTCTGTGGAAGTAGGGACTCTACAATCTATATCGAATTTTTAATATTTCCAACCCATAATTGCATAATTTCACTACTACATTTTTATTAACTCTGAGTACTAGTGGGAAGAGACAGTAATAAACAATACAAGGGTTGAAAAGATAGGGCAAAGGCAAGCTCTCCAATTTAGAATTTTTTTGATGTTGTGAACTTAAAAAACTTCAAAACGTATGGTAACGTATGTTTTCATACCGCGTTCCGATATATTTTGTAGTGGTTCAGTCATGGTAATTATACATGACGTAAGGATGTTTTCATAAATATTTAAACTGTAACTCAAGGGGCTTTAAGCGTCATGGCTAATGCTATAGGTAACGTATGTTCCCCCCAAAAAATGTCAAAATGTTTCATTTTGTTCAAGTACTTGGTGCAATAGAAAACAGTGTTTTCTATTGCTGACCGAAAAATATATTGTGATTCCATGATAGTTTGACATTTCTGATATAATATTTGGAACACGAGGGGAAAAATAATTTATTTAATACTTATTTTACTGTCGGTAGGGTGTATCCCCCCTTTTTTAATATTCAGTAACAAGAAAACTAAAGTCGTTCAAAGACAATTAACTGCTCTATACAGAAGATTATTTTAATTTTTACAACGTTAAAAATAATACTTGTAGGAGATAATTAAATCAAAGAACAAAACCAGTGATTGAATTTTCAAAGTGAGTAAAACATTTCACAGCTGAACGTTTTGCATTTCTGACACTAACGCAGGGGCGGATCCAGGATTAATTGAAGGGGGGGGGGTCCGCGGATGCGAAGCCAACCTTACCCCCCCCCTCCCCCTTGGCGTGGGGTTCGTTCGGGGGCTGCTGAAGGGCCCCGAAAGCTGAAGGGCGAACAGTGCCATATGGTACGGTTTAGAACTATGATTCAGCTGGCCTAAATTCAAATTGCAAGGGGGGGAGGGGGACATTGGTGTGTTTTTTTTCAGAAATTGAAGGGGGGTGTCAGGACCCCCCCTGACACCCCCCTCCCTAAATCCGCCACTGCTGTGGATGGCATTTGGGTGATTTTCAAACCCATGGAGTGTACCTTTAAGGTTGAACTTTTTGTAGTTACTTTTAAAACAATAACTCATTATTTGTTATCATTAATAAAAAATCTATTTAATGCCATTTGAATTTATTTTAAAAAATCAAGTTTGATTTCATAGATATAATGTCTCTTGTTAATAAATATTTTTAACATAATGAAGTAACGTATACCTTGCTTACACAAAATGTTAGGAAAACGTTATTCTAACGTTCTACACTGCCACTGTCAGAAACGTTGCCAGCAAGTTCTGTTCTATTACCGTATATAAATTTTGATGAAATTTACAAATTATACATTTTTGTTAATTTTAGTAAAAACACATGAACAAAGGATTTCATATTTTGCATCACTACAATTTGCACAACTTAAATAATCACATCTAGTATTAAAACGTTCTAACAATGTTATTAAAATCAAAAGATATGTGTCGGTTATATTTACAAGCAGTAGTCGTTGACCGTCATACGCTGTCTTAACTTCACCTAGTGGCTGATTACAAATTGGGGTGGGGTTAGTTGTCAACTAGAGCGATGAGGATTTTAGAACCCTCGTGCAGTCGGTACCTACCCGAAATTACCGACATGATGGAAAGCGTTTACAAAACCTTTAAAAGTAGACTTCAATTATGTAATAAGGTTTATCAAATTTATGAAAAAAGTGTTTTCAAGTAATCCTGATAGTTGATTGGCGTTTGTAATGAATAAATGGATTGTTTTAACTTCATTTTACAAAATCCATTCTAATAAATTCCTTACAAGGTCAGCTAACACAGGAGTAGTGAAAAGGTTAGCGGTGATGACTTGTCTGAAGAAAGTAGGCTAAGGTTGAATAAGGTGGGGAAGTCCACTCAATCTGAGGGATGTCGGCTGTTACATGGGCCGATTCCATCCCATCAGAGAGGTGGCAGGTGGGACAGATCTATTTCATTGGAGGGGTTACAGGTGGGGCGAGTCCATTACCACAGGAGGGGTGACAGGTGGGGCGAGTCCATTGCATGAGAGGGGTGACAGGTAGGGCGAGTCCATTGCATGAGAGGGGGTGACAGGTGGGGCGAGTCCATTGCCACAGACGGGGTGACAGGTGGGGCGAGTCCATTGCATGAGAGGGGGTGATAGGTGGGACGAGTCCATTGCCACAGTAGGGGTGACAGGTAGGACGAGTCCATTTCATGAGAGGGGGGGGGATGACAGGTGTCATGAGAGGGGTGACAGGTGGGACGAGTCCATTACATGAGAGGGGTGACAGCTGGGGCGAGTCCATTGCATGAGAGGGGGTGACAGGTGGGACGAGTCCATTGCATGAGAGGGGGTGACAGGTGGGGCGAGTCCATTGCATGAGAGGCGTGACAGGTGGGNAAGGGGTGACAGGTGGGGCGAGTCCATTGCATTAGGGGGGTGACAGTAGGGGCAAGTCTTGTAATTATACCAAATTTGGTTCAGAGAACAGAAACTGAAGAAATTGTTCTGTTATACCCTCAAAAATAAAAAATTTGGCCAATTTCAGTCAGTTCCATTAAAAAAACTAACTTAATTTAAGCTTACATCAGAATCCTCCCATGTTCAAATTATTATAATTATTACGTTGAAATATCAAATTAAGTATTTTTACCAAGAATAGGCCGCCAAATTAAAACAATTCACTATAGAAAATCCAGAACCTGTTGAAATGGGACCCTCCCTTTACAAGAAAATACAGGGAAAATTATATCCAAATGAATTAATTAGTTCTACATGCTATAGAACAAAAATTTCATGTGAATTTTTTTAAAACCAGGATTGTAAATTTATATAAATTATATAATATATTATGTTTGTTTTTCTTAAATAATGAAAAAAACACGTTTTAATGAAACTTAAACCTAAGGATTAACAAGAGCTTACTAGGACCCAATAATAAAAAATAGCAATATTCTGGATTTACACGCGCGTTATACCATATGTATAGCGTAATGAATTTGCGCATGCGTTTATCTACTGCTAGGAAGTGGGCAGATCGATGCATACTGAAAATATTGGAAAGTAGTTTATCTGTCAGATTATATCGCCATAATGGCTGACCACGAAGCAAAGGCTCGAGAGCTTTTGGCAGAAGCTGAAAAGAAAGTCAAATCATCACAGAGTTTTCTAGGGTCATTATTTGGGTAAGTCGTATGCCCCGAAAGGGTTCCACGTCATTGACATTTTAACACTGACAGCTAGCGGTATATTGGCGTTGATTATATGACTCAGCAGTCATAATTATATTTGTTACATTATATTTTTGATAATGACACGTTCTTGTAGTGAATGCTAAATGTGTCCCCAATCATGCCCTTCGCTTAAATACCTGTTAATATCTTCGTACATTGTTTTTACTGAAACTTAATATTTGCCTCAGTTTTCGGCCTGACATGCTATGCAGGTAAGGCCTCATAACACCCTGTGTTACAAACTCTGGCAACTTAAAATATCCAAATCCTAGGAAAACCACGTGTCTTGTGTTGCATATCATTTACAAATAAAGTCACTGTGTATCGGTGCACAAACCATTTCGGTAGTGTCTTACTCTTTTTTTTATTCCAGCTATTCAGTAACCCTTGGGGCTTGTATGTGATGTCTATTAGACATTTCTGTTTATTATTTGTGTTAGCAATTCTGCAAGCATGGAATAAAAAGGCTAAAATGTTATCAAACTTGTATGCAACCCAATGCAAAATGACTTAAATTGCTAATGATATACATGTACTACAAGGTGCAACAGAGGGCACACACTTTCCCTAGAATGTACAATGTATGTGGATATTTATAGCTTTGAGAGTTTGTAACACAGGGTGTCATGAAACTTGCCTGTAGTAAGAACCTAGAAAAAACTGAGGCAAGGGGAGGGTAATACTGTTTTTATGCATATCCATATGACATACTTCAGTGGACATTTAAAACACTTGTTAGAAATGCCAGACCAACCTGTGTTTGCCTGGGCGGTTGATGAATTTTTGGTAGGTAGTGGTAACAGTGTTGGTCTGCTTCTTTGATATTTTTCCTTTGTATGCTCATACATGTATTAATCCATGTATTTCTATTGGCACAGTGGCAGTTCAAAGCTGGAAGATGCTGCCGAGTTATATGTCAGGGCAGCAAATGCATTCAAGATGGCAAAACAATGGGCAGGTAGGGACTGAAGATAAATCCAAAACACATTATTTTAGAAAAATACATCAATATTTTAAATATCAGTTGTCCTTATGTAGTGCAGAATTATCAATTTCTGCTTGTAAAACATTTGGAGGTCCTTTGACTCCCCTGTGAGAAATTACCTCCACTTTTTAAGACAATGACTTTTAGAAACTAAAAAAAAAAAACTTAATTATTGTGTACAGATAGTGCTTCAGTGCATGTAATCATTCATTATTTTCACGTTATTTTAATGTGAACATTTTTTCTTTTCAGCTGCAGGAAGCGCTTTCTGTCAGGCAGCCCAAATACAACTCTGTAAGATTGGGAGCAAACACGAAGCTGCCAGTAACTATGTAGATGCAGGCAACTGCTATAAGAAAGCTGATGCCAATGGTGTGTAGTTTGGGCTCTTGTGACTATGCTTTTGATCTCTGGCTCCATGCTTAAAGGTTACACATAAAGTCATATCTTTGTACTAAACCCAGCCATATACAATACACTTTCAAATTGTATAACTTAAAGAAATACCAAAAGGGCATCATCTTAAACTTCTTAAAAAAGAATATTTGAACAGATGTTTTCTTTCAGTGCTATATATTTCCCTTAGCCATTTTTGCCACTCATTTGAATATTTATGCTATTCTACGCCCAGCAGTTGTGTCATACATTACTAGTCATTTGGATTACTACTCACTAAGATTTCACATTTTCACCAGTGCCTGAAAAATGACAGCTTTAAATGGGTCAGGTTGTCATTTACTAAATAAGTTGATATTTTATAATTTCAGAGGCTGTTAACTGTTTAATGAAGGCCATTGAAATCTACTCAGACATGGTGAGCATTTTTGTTATGCCAGTATTTGTGTGAACTTATTTTTAAATTGTTATTTTGGTCTTGGCCAAGCAGTTAAAGTATAGTTTGGTCAGAGTCTTTGTAAAATTTAGTTATTTTTAAGGAAATAAATTAAAACCTTGCATTTTCATACAGTATATTGTACATTGTTGTTTTCAGTGCGATATACATATATATCTGCTTTAATTACAGGGAAGATTTACCATAGCTGCTAAGCATCATGTGACAATAGCAGAAGTGTATGAATCGGAGCTGCTGGACTTGGAGAGTGTGAGTCTCCAGGGGCAAGGGGGGGGGGGGGTGATAACGATTTAAAAAATCACCTTTTTTTGATGGAAAATTTGATCCAGATCTTGTGAACATGCATGATTTGCCACAAAAAGGTTTTTTTTTTCAGATTAAGAATTGCCTTTAAAATAACTGGCTGCAGGCCTGCTTTCCTCATTATTTAAATAAATTAATTCAAGGGCATGTAAAGAATGAGGACATTGAAAATTCCATGATTGGACTTGTGTTTATTGGTTGATATTCGATGTCATATTGAAAGCAATCAGTTAAAGGCAATAAGTCTAAGAATGTGTATATTAAAATGGTAAAAGATGTAAAAATGCTTTGCTATCAATTGATTCCATGATTTTTAATGTGGTAGGTTCACATTATTCATTAGATATTTTGAGAACTTGTTACAATTTTAGTTAATTAAAACAAATAATTTGTAAAATAGCCCTTTAATATTTTTTAATTAATTACAGGCCACAAGAAACTATGAACAAGCAGCTGATTACTACAAGGGTGAAGAATCCAATAGGTAATTCTTGTGGTTTTACTTTTTTCGTCTCGGGTGGTTTATGAACCAATTGAATTAAAAAAAAATAGTTGAACGGTGCACATAAAGTGAAAATCCTATTTTTCTTGGTTTACAAACACAGTGAGTGTCAATATGTCAAAATCGGTTATTAATGGCAAGTAATAAATGCAAAGTTAAGAAAATGTCTTTATGTACAAACTTATTTTATAGTGCTGCTAACAAGTGTCTATTGAAAGTAGCCATGTATGCTGCACAGCAAGAACAATATGAAAAGGCAATCTGCATATATGAACAGGTAGGTTGTTTGTAAGCTGCAGCTATCTCCTTCGTACTGAATTAGAGAACTCCTGCTTCTCTTCCAACTCCTGAAGCATGTTCACATACAAAGAAAGTATTGAAGTCACCTTGCAGTCATATAACATGGTTACCTCATTGGAGCTTTGGGTTAAATTTTGTTATGTTTAGTAGTCTTGTTGATGTTTTGTGATTTCATTAAGTTTTGTTTCTTTGCTGACTTTTTGTGAAATTTCTGTAGAATAACATGATCTCCATTCTTAATTTATGCACCCATAAGCTCACTGAATATTTCTGAGAAAGCTCTCGACAGTTGGCATCATTCGGTCTGTTTCCTTTAACTAATTTTGACTGTATATTATCAGAAACTGTTGTAAGTGGCGTTTTTTTTTTTTTTGTCCCAGATTTACTTTACTAGACATTTCCAGTTTCGTTTAATTTAAAAAATATGGCTCTAAGACATCCATGGGACTATCCATTTCCAGTGGAGCTGGACAAAAAATTTAAAAATCACATTAATTTTTTGTTTCCAAGAAGTGCAATTTGCTCTTAATTTTTGTTATATAATTCCAGGTAGCTACTTCTGCTATGGATAACTCCTTATTGAAATATAGTGCCAAGGAATATTTCTTTAAAGCTGCACTCTGTCACTTGTGTGTAGACTTATTGAATGGCCAACAGGCTGTTCAAAAGTATGAGGAAATGTTCCCAGCTTTTGCTGATCAAAGAGAAAATAAATTATTAAAGGTGAGTCAGGGGGAAATCAAGGTGAATATAACTAAGTCAAATCTGTAAATGTAAACATGTTTTATTTTTAGCTGGGATCATCTTCATTGAGCAACCCCTTATTGAAACATGCTGTGACTGAGTATTTTATGAAGGCGCTGGTTTGCCATATGTGCGTGGATCTCTTGAATGCACAGCAGGCCTGTGGTAGATTTGAGGAAATGTCACCTGCTTTTGCTGATTCAAGAGAATGTAAATTAATGAAGGTTGGTCTTGATGTCCTAGGACCATGCAACACCTCTTTGTTAAGTTCTACAGTGTACCCGGCATATGATTTCAGTCAATGTAGTTTTATTGGAAAGTACAGTCTTCAGTTGCATTTGAAATCATATTGTGCTAAATTGGTGCAGTCTGAAAATTCTGTTCTGGTCTGGTTTTGTTGCTTTTTGGTTTAGCTGACTTTTGCCCACAAAGTTTACAAGAACATAAGCAAATAATTTGGTAATACCACATTTATTTACTAGCTTTACAGAATTTTCAATTTTTATGTACAGACACAGATGTGTCTGTACATATTGCCATCACCTGCGTCTGTCGTCGCCGATGCCGTCGCCGATGCCGATGCCGATGCCGGCGCCGTGCACTTTCCTTGTAAACACGATAAGTGGAGGGCAGTTTTACTTTTTGGCTTTATATTTACAGAGCTGATGAATATTCATAAAACGCAGGTCAAGTTCGAAAATCAGCATGATCGGGTCATTATTGTAGAAGTTATGCTGTTTTTTCACTTTTCAGCATATTTTTCACATTTCCTAGATTCAATTCTTAGGCATGTTAACAGTCTCATTATTAAACTAATAAGATACGTAAAAGTTTTTGTTTGACATTTCCTGCATCTTTACAACATTGTTAGTTGATTTTGTAAAAATGATTGTAAACTTGTTATTATGTATTGTGTAATAAAGTGTCAAAAATGGAAATAAACTCATATCATTGCAGTTTGTCAGATTCAATCATTCACTATGTTCAGAATCTCAGAATGGAAGAAATTGGACATTTAACACTGCTTTATTGATATTTTTCCCATCTCATCAATTTTCTTAGTTGATCATATAAAAATGGCAGTAAACTGTT